CTGGTGGCGCGGGACCTGGCGCTGACTGGACTGGTGGCGCGGGACCTGGCGCAGACTGGACTGGTGGCGCAGGACCTGGTGGAGCCGGTAACTGGAAAAGCAGGGAGGTTAGATTGTCCACCAGGATTTCCTGGAGACTGAAAATCTGACGGAGTCGGACAAGCTCAGCTCGGAGACCGGCGAGCTCTGTTGGATGGGCTGTGGGTTCGGTCCTTTGGCCTGGAGACGAGGGAGCTGCTGACTGGACCGGAGGCGGAGCCGCTGGCTGGACAGAAACCTTCTCCTGGAGATACGAGGAGGATAGGGTGTCCAGCTGGAACTCCTGGAGGCTGATGAGTTGACGGAGCCGGTCAAGCTCCACTTGGAGGCCGGCGAGCTCCGTCTGATGGGCTGTAGGCGTGGCCCCTCCGGACCTGGCGAGGGCAGGACCGGCGGTGACCGGAGGCAGAGCCGCTGCAGGGGTAGACTCGGCAGGTAGAGACGCTGGAGGAGACGTCGTCGACTTCTGGACTGGAGGAGACGTCGTCGACTTCTGGGCTGGTGGAGACGTCGTCGAATTCTGGGCTGGTGTAGACGTCGTCGACTTCTGGGCTGGAGGAGACGTCGTCGACTTCTGGGCTGGAGGAGACGTCGTCGACTTCTGGGCTGGAGGAGACGTCGTCGACTTCTGGGCTGGAGGAGACGTCGTCGACTTCTGGGCTGGAGGAGACGTCGTCGACTTCTGGGCTGGAGGAGACGTCGTCGACTTCTGGGCTGGAGGAGACGTCGTCGACTTCTGGGCTGGTGGAGACGTCGTCGACTTCTGGGCTGGAGGAGACGTCGTCGACTTCTGGGCTGGAGGAGACGTCGTCGACTTCTGGGCTGGAGGAGACGTCGTCGACTTCTAGGCTGGAGGAGACGTCGTCGAATTCTGGGCTGGAGGAGACGTTGTCGACTTCTGGGCTGGAGGAGACGTCGTCGACTTTTGGGCTGGAAGAGACGTCGTCGACTTCTGGGCTGGAGGAGACGTCGTCGACTTCTGGGCTGGAGGAGACGTCGCCGACCTCTGGGCTGGAGGAGGAGACGTCGACCCCTGGGCTGGAGGAGGAGACGTCGACCCCTGGGCTGGAGGCGACGTCGTTGTCTGGGCTGGGGGCGTCGACGTCTGGGCTGGGGGCGTCGACGTCTGGGCTGGAGGCGTCGACCTCCGGGCTGGAGGCGTCGACCTCCGGGCTGGAGGCGTCGACCTCCGGGCTGGAGGCGTCGACTTCCGGGCTGGAGGCGTCGACTTCCGGGCTGGAGGCGTCCACTTCCGGACTGAAGGCGTCAACTTCTGGACTGGAGGCGTCGACTTCTCGACTGGAGGCGTCGACTTCAGGACTGGAGGCGTCGACTTCTGGACTGGAGGCGCCGACTTCTGGACTGGAGGCGCCGCCGACTTCTGGAGTGGAGGTGCCGCAGGAGGGGCCGCCAACTTCTGGAGTGGAGGCGGAGCCGCTGCAGACGGGACCGCTTCCCTGGCTGGTGCCGCCGGACTGTGCACTGACAACTGGACAGGCTGGCCCGGGGGCCGAGCCTCTTGGACAGGCTGGCCCGGGGACGGAGCCTCTTGGACCACCGCGGGACATGGCGCTGACTGGACGGCTGGCGCGGGACCTGGCGCGGGACCTGGCGCTCACTGGACGGGTGGCGCGGGACCTAGCGCTGACTGGACTGGTGGCGCGGGACCTGGCGCAGACTGGACTGGTGGCGCGGGACCTGGCGCTGACTGGACTGGTGGTGCGGGACCTGGCGCAGACTGGACTGGTGGCGCAGGACCTGGTGGAGCCGGTAACTGGAAAAGCAGGGAGGTTAGATTGTCCACCAGGAGCTCCTGGAGACTGAAAATCTGACGGAGTCGGACCAGCTCAGCTCGGAGACCGGCGAGCTCTGTTGGATGGGCTGTGGGTTCGGTCCTTTGGCCTGGAGACGAGGGAGCTGCTGACTGGACCGGAGGCGGAGCCGCTGGCTGGACAGAAACCTTCTCCTGGAGATACGAGGAGGATAGGGTGTCCAGCTGGATCTCCTGGAGGCTGATGAGTTGACGGAGCCGGTCAAGCTCCACTTGGAGGCCGGCGAGCTCCGTCTGATGGGCTGTAGGCGTGGCCCCTCCGCACCTGGCGAGGGCAGGACCGGCGGTGACCGGAGGCCGAGCCGCTGCAGGGGTAGACTCGGCAGGTAGAGACGCTGGAGGAGACGTCGTCGACTTCTGGACTGGAGGAGACGTCGTCGACTTCTGGACTGGAGGAGACGTCGTCGACTTCTGGGCTGGTGGAGACGTCGTCGACTTCTGGGCTGGAGGAGACGTCGTCGACTTCTTGCATGGAGGAGACATCGTCGACTTCTGGGCTGGAGGAGACGTCGTCGACTTCTGGGCTGAAGGAGACGTCGTCGACTTCTGGGCTGGAGGAGACGTCGTCGACTTCTGGGCTGGAGGAGACGTCGCCGACCTCTGGGCTGGAGGAGGAGACGTCGCCAACCTCTGGGCTGGAGGAGGAGACGTCGACCCCTGGGCTGGAGGCGACGTCGACCCCTGGGCTGGGGGCGTCTACATCTAGGCTGGAGGCGTCGACCTCCGGGCTGGAGGCGTCGACTTTTGGACTGGAGGCGTGGACTTCTGGACTGGAGGCGCCGACTTCCTGACTGGAGGCGCCGACTTCCTGACTGGAGGCATCGACTTCTGGACTGGAGGCATCGACTTCTGGACTGGAGGCGCCGCCGATTTCTGGAGTGGAGGCGCTGCAGGAGGGGCCGCCAACTTCTGGAGTCGAGGCGGAACCGCTGCAGACGGGACCGCTTCCTTGGCTGGTGCCGCCGGACTGTGCGCTGACAACTGGACCGGCTGGCCCGGGGGCAGAGCCTCTTGGACAGGCTGGCCCGGGGACGGAGCCTCTTGGACAGGCTGGCTCCGGGGCGGAGACTCTTGGACAGGCTGGCCCGGGGGCGGAGCCTATTGGACCACCGCGGGACCTGGCACTGACTGGAAGGGTGGCGCGGGACCTGGCGCTGACTGGACGGGTGACGCGGGACCTATCGCTGACTGGACTGGTGGCGCGGGACCTGGCGCTGACTCGACTGGTGGCGCGGGACCTGGCGCAGACTGGACTGGTGGCGCGGGACCTGGCGCAGACTGGACTGGTGGCGCAGGACCTGGTGGAGCCGGTAACTGGAAAAGCAGGGAGGTTAGATTTTCCACCAGGAGCTCCTGGAGCCTGAAAATCTGAAGGAGTCGGACCAGCTCAGCTCGGAGACCGGCGGGCTCTGTTGGATGGGCTGTGGGTTCGGTCCTTTGGCCTGGAGACGAGGGAGCTGCTGACTGGACCGGAGGTGGGGCCGCTGGCTGGACAGAAACCTTCTCCTGGAGATACGAGGAGGATAGGATGTCCAGCTGGAACTCCTGGAGGCTGATGAGTTGACGGAGCCAGTCAAGCTCCACTTGGAGGCTGGTGAGCTCCGTCTGATGGGCTGTAGGCGTGGGCCCTCCGCCTGTAGATGAAGGAGGTGCTGACTGGACCGGAGATGGGGCCGCTGATCTAACTGGGGTGGGTCCAAGCTGGTGTCCCAAGCCGGGGTAGCTGTGAGCCCTTGGTTCCGTCCTGGGACAGGGGTTGACGCTGGAGCCCGGCATCCTTCCCAACACCGTGGGCTAACTCTGGGGGAGCACACTGCCAGTCTGGTGCCCACATAGCAGGAGCGGTCTAGCTGCGTCTCCCAGTCCAACCCCCCATCTGGCTCCGGGAGGGTGGAGAGGATCGCCGAGGCCGGGGTTTGGCAGCGGCGTCTGCGGCGAGGCGACGCCGGAGGAGGAGAAGCCGGCCGGTGGTTTGAGGTGAGGAACTGAAGCAGGTACTCCCAGGGGAGAACCTCCCCGCTGGATCCTTTAGGAGTTTGGTTCATTCTGTCACGGCGTGCTGGTGAGTGAAGCGGAGGTGAGGATCCACATGTGGGTGAGGAAGGCAGGCAGATAGACACGAACGTTTAGTATAGTTTAATATAAAAACACGCTGGACACTGAAACAATGAACCAACAAAAGACAAAGAACTGAGAGGGTTTAAATCAGAAACCGTCTCAGGCAAGCTCAACTGCATGCTCGTCGTCCCCATCGGGGTCTTGACCTGACTCCAGCTCGTCACCGTGACAGACTTGAGTGGGCAAATGCTCACATTGAATGGCGTCTGGCATGTTGGAGAGGTGTTGTCTTCACGGTTGAATCTCGGTTTACATTGTTCAGGGCAGATGGCAGACAGCGTGTGTGGCGTCATGCGGATGAGCAATTTGCTGATGTCAATGTTGTGGATCGAGTGGCCAATGGTGGTGGTGGGGTTATGGTATGGACAGGCATCTGTTATGGACGAAGAACACAGGTGCATTTTATTGATGGCATTTTGAATGCACAGAGATACCGTGATGAGATCCTGAGGCCCATTGTTGTGCCGTACATCCATGAACATTACCTCATGTTTCAGCAAGATAATGCACGGCCCCATGTTGCAAGGGTCTGTACACAATTCTTGGAAGCTGAAAATGTCCCAGTTCTTGCATGGCCACGCATACTCACCGAACATGTCACCCACTGAGCATGTTTGGGATGTGCTTGACCGGCGTATACGACAGCGTGTACCAGTTCCCACTAATATCCAACAACTTCGCACAACCATTGAAGAGGAGTGGACCAACATTCCACAGGCCACAATTGACAATCTGATCAACTCTATGCGAAGAAGATGTGTTGCACTGCATAAGGCAAATGGTGGTCACACCAGATACTGACCGGTTCTGAGTCCCCAGACCCCCAATAAAGCAATTAACTGCACATTCCTGGGTGGCCTTTAATTGTGGGCAGTATAAGGTACACCGTGCACTACTCATGATGTCAGATCAGCATCTTGATGTGGCACACCTGTGAGGTGGGATGGATTATCTTAGCAAAGCACAGGTGCTCACTATCATACATTTAGACTGATTTGTGATCAACGTTTGAGAGAAATGGTAATATTGTGTATCTGGACTGAATTTCAGATCTTTAAGTCCATCTCATGAAAAATCGGAGCAGAAACAAAGGTGTTGCGTTTATATTTTTGTTGAGTGTAGGTTCCTACATCACCTTTAGCTCCATCCATTCACAGTAAATGCTTAGTTCACTTGTCATGTTTTAATTGTTTCTAAAATAAATTCTTACAATTATAAACCTGACTCTTTTCTGAATCAAGACGAGGTGTGTATAATTACTTAATAAAGCAAAAATCCTATAATCTTCTGATATTTACAATAAAGATCAAGTAAGGTAATATTGTATATTTATACAGAAATACACATTTGCCTCCGCTACACAAAGATTTTTTTTTGTAAACCAATTTTAAAAATATACACTTAACAGATGCATTTTAGGGCAGAAATTTAAAACTAACTTATAACAAATAAATGTATTTTATTGACACTACAGCTGAGTCAATATTTACGTCCTGAAAAAAAGTTTATTTACCTGATCTCGGCACGTTCACTCATGCCCTCAGTCGGATGCTTTCTTAAGAGGTGCAGCAGCATGGAAGAAGTGCTGTTGTGGTAGCTCCACCTTGCAATGCTTGCATACAATGGCGTTTTCCTTGCTTTTTAATGTAAAGTGATCCCATGCCTTGGAAAACTTCTGTCGCTTACTATATCCTTCGTTTTGGTCTTGCTCGTTTCCATTTATTTCCATGGCGTCTGCCATTGTCGGCTACCCAGCTGAAAAGACGAAAAGACCGCTGCGCGCTGTGCAGTAGAGTACATGGCACGTATAATCTGTGACGTAACCGCGTTGCGCAACACATAAAGAATCCATGCGCAATGCCGGATATTCAGCTATGGTCTATTTAACGAGTCCTCGAGGCAGCGGAAAATTCTCGAATATTTTTTGTCAGCGAATCATTCGAGTTACTCGAGGAATCATTGCAGCCCTAATCAGCATAATCATTTTTAAAGCTAATCAATATAATCTTTTTGAGAATAATCATTTTTACACTTAACCAATATAACCTTTTCTGTTTAAACTAATATAGTCAACTTCAGTCTAATTGCTGTCAGGTTATGAATGTGTTGGTCAATCATTTAATCTTCATATATAAGGAAATAAAACTTTGTCGAAGTGCTGCAGACTAACAGAGATAACGTTCCAGAAAACATTGGTGTTGAAAGTTTCTATAACAATGGCCTGACTCTTACTGCTTGTGGTCAAAAGAAGATCACGAGTTATGTCATGGGGAAGTGTCTGATTGATAAACTTTTGACCTCGTTGCTGAGCCAGAGATCACAAGTTCAGTCTTAGAAAAAGTCTTGGATGTTGAGGGTCAGGGAAAGTCAGAAGGTGCTTTAGACTGTGAACTCATGAAGACCGCTCCCATGAGGAGGAGTAGTGTATGACTGTGAAGTGGGAACGCCCCAGTCTATTGTGGAACTGTTGTAAAATTAAAAAAAATTTTCATGCAATTCAATAAAAGGGCTGACGAGAAGAGTCGAAAGTTAGAAGATACATCGGCAGGGAACTGCTTGTGTTCTTCTCACCAGAAGCCAACCAAAGATCTTTGTGTGTGTACATATTATAATGGGCCTAAAGTAGGGCTGGGCAATAAATCGAAAATGTATCGTTATCGAAATTTCTGACTCTTATCGAGATCATTTTTCCCATGTCAATAAATTTGATAATAAAAAAATGAAAAGATGTGTGTAGCTGGGCAACATTCATGTCCCTTTAAGAAGCTGTACCACCTTGAGATGCGTAAAAATTTGACTAAATATAATACATGTGACAGCCCCATCTAGTGGACAACTTACCTGCAGTTATGGTCCATTTATCATTATTGAGGTTAAATCCTCAATATATTGTGATATTAGTTTTAGGCCATATCGCCCAGCCCTAGCTTAAAGTGTGGATCTCTCTTCAGGGTCACCTCCAAAGAACCAGGGAGTGGTTAGATGGAATAATTTCCACCACGACAGCCCCCATAATTCTGGTATGAAAGTGAAGCCAACAAGGAAGAGGCAAAAAAAAATGCATTTCCACCCTCATCCACCAGAAGAGAGCTAATCCTCATCGAATCACATGTCAAAAATGCCAATTTGACAGCAGAGATAAACTGATCAGAAAGCCCTTTAAGGTTTAATAGATCTAGTTAACATTCATGAAAACTCTGAGGGGGCAAATTTTTTTTATAAATTTATAATCATTGCAACCCAAAGTCAGTCCTACCACACTGCTGAATCCTGCCGGTGCTGTTTCCTCAGTGAGGTTCAGTACATCTCGTTCATCACCCTTGGAAAAGGAGATGATGTGTTCTGGTCCGGCTCTCCACTCCCTCGTCGAGGAGACTTCTAACCACAGAATAGAGGCTTTACTATCTAGTACTCAAAATCTATCTTAATGATATTGGCCACAGGCTAAATTCCTTTGAATGGCATGTTTAAAGTATAAAACCTCAATGAAAAATGTTTTTGGATTTTCACGGCTGGAATTTGAAGAAAATCTGATGTTTCTGACTGGCACGGGAAAAACAGAAACTAGCTTCAGGTCTAAGCCCTGGACAGCTGGTGACGTTTCACAGGAGGTCTGAAGAAAAAGCACCTGACTACGATGTTTCTGTGTTAGAGTTATAGCTGAGAACAATGTGTCATCAGTCAAGATGTAGCTTCTGAAGCCTCTGCTAGTCGGTCAGATTATTTTTTTCTCTGGGATGATTACCGGAGAAGTTCAACCGAACTCCGACCCCGCTAGCTGGATATCACTACCGGAGGTGCAGACATGTTTTGGACCGTTTGAGGCAGAAGACCCGCGACCCGATTTGGACACCGGGAAGGATTCTGTTAGTCTTAAGACCCAAAATCGGTACAGTTTGTTTACTTTTGTTAAATATTTAATTTTTGTGCTCGTACCACCGGGAGCTCTCAGCTGACTACAGGTCTTAACTCCATCATACTGTCCTGATGTGTAATTCAGTAATCTACAGAAAAAAAACAAAATTATGTGCTGCCAATTTTACAGCTGCATGTATATATTAGGGGTTTAACGGTTCGGGCCACTTGCGTACCATTTTGGTTCATTTTCCATTAAATAATGAAATTTTGTTTGCATGATTTAAGTGCAGCAGATCAAAGTTCATAGGCGAGTTTCCGCACCGACGCTGTATTGAGTGACGCATGATGGTTGCACGCACCTGATCTCCGATTAAAAAAGGTGATCTGCAAATTCTGATCAATGTCTTTCTGAGCAGCTCAAACCAGCTGGCTGTCGCTGCTACTGTGGAGACAGTAGAGACGCTGAACGTAAACAACATGTCTACTGAACTTTTCCCCCACGGCAGTTGATGTAATGTTTTCATTCTACAACAAAAAATACGATGCGGAGAAAGCTCGTTATTTAACGGGGTATCTGCAGGTTTAAGGGAGCCAAATTTAAGGCTTTTTAAGACCTTTTTTAAGGCCACTTTGACCAAATTTAAGCTATTTTTTAATTATATTTAAGCTATAATTTTCAGCTATTGCCTGGCACTGGTGCTAACCACGTCGCAAACGTGGGATTACCCACCCAGTTACCATTAAACTTGCACTTCCCCATGGTGCAAGCTCCCACTAGCTTAACCAGCTAATGTGCTCATCTAAAAATAGCCCCCTTTCACAACCAACTGAATGTGTACAGTTCCACTTATGCCAATATCATAAACAAAAAATGCTGAACACTAACTACAAATTCTTGTGCATTGGGTCTTTGGTAATTTAAGACATTTGGAAACTGTAATTAAGGATTATTTGTCATTTCTAATGATTTTTAAGACCTTAAATTTAAAAAAGCAAATTTAAAACTTTAAGACTTTTTAAGGACCTGCGGATACCCTCTAATATGAGTTTTAAAGAAGAAAGTGGGCAGTCTGAGGTGAGTTTTTAAGGCTCACTGCAGAAATAAAAACAAGGCGCATCAACAGTCAAACACGTATGAGAGTGACACTCGTAGCTGCGCAAATAAACTGTGAAATATTTAAAGACATCATACTAGATCAGCAGCTTGTGAGGACACCTGGTTCTGCTCACTACAGAAGCCGCTTCAGACAAAAAATAAATAAATATAATAATATACAGAAAACGATTTGAACTGAGCTCTTCAAAACACTGAACCGAATCGAATACGATTTTAGCGTACTGTTATACCCCTAACGATTAGAGACTCATTTATATAGTTTAATAGCAAAAAAGTTGATTTGAGGGTGACTTGCTCTTTAACAAAATGAAAAACTGAACCAAGTTCATATTTATATAATTGGTAAAGTATAGTTACACTGAATTTTTACAATTTTAATGCTGAGTCTGGCCAATACCTTTGATAGTCATATATAGCACATGTACCCTGTATATAGCATGTCAAAGATTACTATTGAGCACAATAAATCTTTACAAAAATCCATTTTTATTACAATGTTTTTCTTTGTAATAATTTCTTCCCAAAAGATAAAAATATAACCTTAAATCATGGCTGTAAATCTGTTTTTAACAAAAGTGTTTTCACAGATGTGAAGTTTTCTTTAAATAATTAAGTACAGAATCATTTAATTTACCCATTCATAAACAAATCAGGTCTCTGGTTTCATCACCATCTTTTAGCAGTATCGCTGTACAAAGTGGAGGTTATTTGGCAAAGAAAAAATGTTACAGCAAATGGAAAACTCCTATTATGGTGCCTGTCTGGTGACATTTGAGGGGGAAAATAACTTGCGGCCACGACTGCGTGGCAAGGTCCCTCCCCCCCCCTCAATGTCACCAGACTAGCTTCATACTAGTGATTAAAACCAATACATTTTCAACATACTGTCAGTGAACTGGTACTTAAACGTTTTAGCACATAAGTTTTTTCCAACTCAGTTTCACTTTAAGATAAGCTTTTGCTGCTAGTCCGTTAGCGGTCTTAAAACTGCCTACTCACCAAAACGTTCAAAAGTCATCCGGTTTTCTCGACACTCCAATTATCCAGAATGCATCATCTGTTACACAAAAACATTTTTAGGTAAGTAATAGGTAGAAAGGTTAACTTCTGAACTGTTTTTCCTCATAACTTTACCGCACCGTTCCCATTTTTCTGTCTCCTCAGATGTTTTGACGACAAGGTCCTCACACCTGCACATCCACAATAACAAGTACGGTTAAGTTAGACTACAACACATAACTTGTTTTCTTTACCAGTCAGGACTTCCATATTAAAGAAGGCGTGTTTCTGAGTTGTCTTGGTAACATCTTTCCTGTCAGCCTCTGATTGACTGTGAAAATCATAACATAAATTCTTTAAAACTAAATCACTTTGAGTGATTTGCCAGTTCTAGAGAAAGCTTCAGACCGGCCATCTTTAGCATATCTCTTTAATAATCAAAGATTTTGACACATCATCAAAACCTTTTTGCACCTACAAAGCTGAGACAGCAAACAGTTCATGCAGAACAAAGCTGATATTGTTCAACTCCTTAAGAGTTATTCCTGAGACGCAAGCTGATTCCAACCTGTGCTGCGTGGTGATATCTTTTGGACCGGAGAAGTCGGTGCTCGCAGTCAATCTACCGGACCTGGGTGCCCAGAGGTCATCCTGCCTCTCTGACCTCCGAATCCGTGACGAAGGTCATCAAAAGGGTGAGGTAGAACACAGAGATTGCGTCTGAATGTGCTTCTGAAGATAACATCATAGTTTAGAACAAACCAAATTCTTTTTCATCCAGAGACGCCGCTTTCCGAGATTCTGAAGTTCTGACCAACACCGCATTTACACATACACTCAACAAAAATATAAACGCAACACCTTTGTTTCTGCTCCGATTTTCCATGAGCATAGCATAGCATAGCATAGCATAGCATAGTTTATTTATATAGCACATTTAAAATGCAGCATGGGAGCTGCCCAAAGTGCTGCACAGGCTAAAACAAAACACACCCATTACAAGGAGCTAAAACTAAGGATAAAATCTCAATTAAAAGCAGAGAAAACATGAATAATAAGAACACATTAAAACAATGACACAATAAAACACTAAAACGAGTCACTGTCTAAAAGCCAAAGTGTAAAAGTGGGCCTTTAAACGAGATTTAAAAACCGCCAGAGATGGAGCCTGCCGAACTCCAATGGGCAATGAGTTCCATAGCTTTGGGCCAGCATGGACAAATGCTCGTTCACCCCGCAATTTGAGCCTCATCCGCGGCGTGTGCAGCAGCAATAGGTCAGCCGACCTCAACGAGCGGGTGGGCACATATGGAGTGAGAAGGGCAGAGAGGTAGGAAGGTGCCAGGTCACTGAGCGCTTTAAAAACAAAAGTCAGTAACTTAAACTGCACTCTGAAAATGACAGGGAGCCAGTGAAGATGTGCCAGGACAGGTGTAATGTGGCTACGTCGGTGTGTACCCGTCAAGAACCTGGCAGCAGCATTCTGAACAACCTGCAGCCGATTCAGGGCAGAGTCCGGAACACCAACGAGGAGGGCGTTTGCATAGTCCAGGCGAGAGGTAATGAATGCATGAATGACTGACTCCAAATGCCACCGTTTCAGGATTCGTCTGAGGTGAGTAAGGCGGCGAAGCTGATAAAAACAAGACCTCACTACAGAGTTTATCTGTGGGGCCATTGTGAGTCCAGCATCCAGCTTGACCCCGAGACTCGTCACACACTGTTTGGGGTTAAGGGTTAAAAGGTCACAAACAGGGTGAGAGCCATGGTGGTTGCGGGGGTCAAAAACAATAAACTCAGACTTCTTTTCATTCAGTTTTAAGAAGTTGGATGCCAGCCAGCCCTTCACGTCATCCATACATGCAGCCAATTTCGAGCCCGCATTTTTCTCGTCCATTTCCACGTATAGCTGACAGTCATCTGCGTAGATGTGGTAGCTCAGGCCATGCTGATTCAGGATATTGCCCAGAGGCAGAAGGTAGATTGAAAACAGCAATGGCCCAAGAACGGAACCTTGCGGCACCCCCCAAGGCAGTGGAAGACTGGAGGATGCACAGTCACCAATCTGTACAGAGATGGTACGGTTTGATAGGTAGGAGCGGAACCATTTAAGCGCCACCCCCGTCACCCCAACCCAAGACCCAAGCCGATTCAGTAAAATTTGGTGATCGACCGTCTCAAAAGCCGCTGAAAGGTCCAGCTGGAGCAGCAGTACCCTAGACCCAGAGTCAGATGCCACCAGAATGTCATTTAGCACCCTAATCAAAGCAGACTCTGTGCTATGGTTTGGTCTAACAGCTGACTGAAATACATCCAGCAATGAGTTGCTATTCATATGGGCAGAGATCTGGCCATGCACAATTTTCTCAAGGACCTTCGAGAGAAACGGGACTTTCGATATCGGGCGAAAGTTCTCATAAGTGGAGGGATCCAAACCAGGTTTTTTCAATATCGGCTGAACAACCGCATCTTTAAAAACCTTAGGGAACACTCCAGTGCTGAGGCTAATGTTAAAAATGTTCATGAGTGCCGGGCTCAGCGCAGACACCGAGTCACGTACCAATTTAGCTGGGAGGCAGTCCACCGAAGAGCCAGCTGGCTTCATGGAGCTAATCAGTTTCATCAAGTCAGCAAGCTGAACTGGAGCAAAGTCTGAGAAGGCAGGTGGATCCGGCGGTTCCACATGGATAGTGTGTATTTGAGGCTGGAGGATAAGCCTAATACCAAGGATCTTGTTGAGGAAAAAGCTCTGTAGCTCTGTGCATAAAGCAACAGTGGGATTTAGACCATCAGACTCATTTAACAGTAGCAGGGAGTTAACTGTGCTGTACAGCCTGGACTGGTCTCCATGATGCTGTGAAATGATAGCAGAAAAATAGTTATTACGAGCAGATCTAACTGCTCTCTGGTAGTGTGAAAGTGCATCAACCAGGAGCAGCCGAGAGCATGACAGTCTGTCTCTCCTCCACCTCCGTTCCAGCACCCTACACTGTCGCCTGAGGCTACGGGTGTAATCATTCAGCCAAGGGTAAGATGTTGTCTGTTTCCGCCTCGGTCTCAGAGGGGCAACAGCGTCCAGAGCAGCAGAGCAGGTCACACTGAACCGATGCAGAAGGCCATCTACATCCATGCAGGTAACCGACAAGGGCGGAGCGAGGGCATCAGTGTCCAAAACCGACAGAAAGTTGGAAGTCGTACTCGGAGATAAGCGCCTGGAGTAACGAGCAGACCGTCGCCGGGCTGGAGGAAGGAGACGTGAGATGCTGAACGTGATCACAGCATGGTCGGAAAATGCCACAGGATCCACAGATAAATCATGCAAATCCAGTCCAAAAGATAAAACCAAATCCAGGTTGTGAGAAGCCGCATGTGTGGGGACATTTACCAATTGCTGTAGTCCAAATGAGTCTAAAACATTCATAAAATCCCTCACCAGTGGTTTCAGAGGGCAGCAGACGTGGATATTAAAATCACCCAAAATAATCCCCTGTTCATATTTTGGGAGCATATCAGCTAAAAGGTTGGAGAAATCATTTATAAAATCCTTATTGTATCCTGGTGGCCAGTAGCACAGTAAAACGAGGATGGGAGGAGAGAAGCCCAGCTCTAATACTGAGACTTCAAAACTGGTTGGAGCCATCAGCCCAGCAAGAGGTTTAAGTGGGAGATTTGAACAGTACAGGGACAGCAAGCCCCCCCCACGGCCAGAGAGTCTCGGTTCATTAACAACATTACAGTCAGGAGGACAGAGTTCGACCAAGGAGGCCATCTCACCTGGCAGAGCCCACGTCTCCGTCATGCAGAACAGGCTCATAGCGTTATCCGTGTAAAAATCCTTTAGGATAGCTGTCTTGTTCCCCAGCGAGCGGACGTTCAGTAGAGCAATCCGAAGCTGCGGCAGGGAGCTGGATGGAAGCCGATCCGAGGTTCGCCAAAACCCCGACCTCACGGGATAGAGGAGATTTCCCGGATTTACTCCACCAGTGCGCTGCGCTTGCTGGGAGCTCCCGCGCGCACGGGCCAGCCTTTGGCGCTGCAGAACCCGGATGGATCCAGGCGAGAAATCACAGAGGGGTACGTCCTGGAAGAAACGACCATCGCTGTTATCTCGCCGAAAAGCCCTTATCCTAACCCGGACGCCACAACGTTTTCCACGCCGTCTCCGCCGCCTCGGGTTACGCCCCACTCGGTCCGGGACAGCCAGCAGGAACGCCGGGACCTTGTCAAACAGGTGACCAAACGTCAGCCTGAACTCAGCATCATGTAGCCCGAGTCCAGGGCTCAACCGAAGATCAAGAAGGGTGAGTCGATCATATTTAAAAATTGGATCACAAAAAGCTAAAAAGTGACTCAAAAACAATGCTAAAACCACAATTACAAGCAACAGACGGCGAGCCGCAACAGTCGGCGCCATCTTGCCGCAAGATCAGTGAGATGGACATAAAGATCTAAAATACATTCCAGATACACAATATTACCATTTTTCTCAAACATTGTTCACAAATCAATCTAAACGTGTGATAGTGAGCACTTCTGCATTGCTGAGATAATCTGTCACGGCATGCTGGTGAGTGAAGCGGAGGTGAGGATCCACATGCGGGTGAGGAAGGCAGGCAGATAGACACGAACGTTTAGTAAAGTTTAATATAAAAACACGCTGGACACTGAAACAATAAACCGTCAAAAGACACAGAACTGAGAGGGTTTAAATACATGAGGGCTGGGAGCTTGGGTGATTGGAAAAAGAGAGGTAGGTGGGAGCAATTAACAGAGACACATGACTGAACAGAATGGGGAGACAGGACAGGGTGTGACATAATCCATCCCACCTCACAGGTATGCCACATCAAGATGCTGATCCGACATCATGAGTAGTGCACAGGTGTACCTTATACTGCCCACAATAAAAGCCCCCCCCCCCCCCCCCCCCCCCCCCCCAGAGGGCGGATTCCAGACGCCCACAGGAACACAGAGCAGGGCGGGAGGAGGGGGACCAGGAAGGAGGGCCGAGAGGAACCGAGGGACTGGTGGAGAAGAAGCAGGGACCAGTAGAGTCCAGGGGCCTGCGTCTGGGGCAGAGGAGGAGACGGCGACGGGCTCTGAGGGGCCTACGTCTGGGACAGAGGAGGAGACGACAACGGGCTCTGGGGGGCCTGCGTCTGGGGCAGAGGAGGAGACGGTGACAGGCTCTGGGGGGGCCTGCGTCTGGGGCAGAGGAGGAGATGGCGGCGGGCTCTGGGAGGCTCGCGGCGGGCTCTGGGAGGCTCGCACCTGGCGAGGGCAGGACCGGCGGTGACCGGAGGCAGAGCCGCTGCAGGGGTAGACTCGGCAGGTAGAGACGCTGGAGGAGACGTAGTCGACTTCTGGACTGGAGGAGACGTCGTCGACTTCTGGACTGGAGGAGACGTCGTCGACTTCTGGACTGGAGGAGACGTCGCCGACTTCTGGGCTGGTGGGGACGTCGTCGACTTCTGGGCTGGTGGGGACGTCGTCGACTTCTGGGCTGGTGGAGACGTCGTCGACTTCTGGGCTGGAGGAGACGTCGTCGACTTCTGGGCTTGAGGAGACGTCGTCGACTTCTGGGCTTGAGGAGACAACGTCGACTTCTGGGCTGGAGGAGATGTCGTCGACTTCTGGGCTGGAGGAGACGTCGTCGACTTCTGGGCTGGAGGAGACGTCGTCGACTTCTGGGCTGGAGGAGACGTCGTCGACCTCTGGGCTGGAGGAGACGTCGTCAACTTCTGGGCTGGAGGAGACGTCGCCGACCTCTGGGCTGGAGGAGGAGGAGTTGAACTCTGAGCTGGAGGAGGAGACGTTGACCCTTGGGCTGGAGGCGACGTCGACGTCTGGGCTGGAGGCATCGACGTCTGGTCTGGAAGCGTC